TTTATATTAAATTTCTAAAAAAATCGTTTAAACAATAAAAATAAATATATTGCTAAAAAGTAAAATATAGGATTTTTAATCTATTAGAACTAAACAGTGTTATTATTATGTTAGTTTTCGAACAATTAATAAAAGCTTAAGCAAGAAACTTTGTGATAAAAAAAAATACTAAAATATGAAATTTTGCATGAATATCTCAAAACATAGGGTATACAGTATAATACACAAATCTTATTGATTGCTATTACTGTATGTTCGTTTTTGCGCAATTAACAAAAACATTAGGTCCAATTCTTTTTTTTGTATGTGTCTCAAACATGCAGTTATCCACAAAAAATATCTGCAACTGCGGATATTTATATGGATAATAACTAACTACACTAATAGTTTGAACTTATGGAATTATAAATTATTGGACGTAATCATAAAAAAATTCATTATATAGGTAATTAGTGAATAACTAGACTTAGGAGCTTACTACCACGGTGGTCACTGTTAGGAATTTGCGAAGTGCAAATCTAACCGAATTGTGTGGAAATTAGAATAAATGCCTCGTTTCTAAAATTATTTATTAATCTTAATCAAATGTGTGAAGTGAACATTATTAAAGAATTATTAATTGATTTAAAAATGCAAGTTTATTTTCAAGCCAAAGATTTAATTAAAATAATTTAATTTAAAAGTAATTCGTTTTTATTACAGAAATAAAAAGTAAAACTGAATTACAGGTTTATAAAATACAATAAAAAAAAAATATATTAAGTAATCACGCAAAAATTTTGAATTTTGAATTTTAAATTTGCGTTAAACATATGAGATTGCACACTAGCTAGACAGTGTACCTCTCCGCCTTCTGTATTACTTGACTGAGCTCTCATTTCTCCAACGATGTTTTGTTTTAGTTCCTTTATTTCTCTTTTAATTAAGGCATCAGTTAATAAGTTTTGTGTAGTAGGCCCATTTTCTTCTTTCCAATTTTTTGCATTCATGTAATCATTAATTCCTACGCATATCTCATCCCAATGTTCCATTTTGTAACTTACTTGACAAGAAGTTTTCAAATGATTCAGTAATATCTTTCTTGATTTTTCTCTATCTTCTTGATCAATTTTTCGTCTTTGTTCATTTTTACTTAATTGAGGATTGTTCACATATATGATCCCATTGCAACGATTAATTAAACTAGCAATTTTTCTATTTTCATTTATTTCTTTTTTTGTGGAGACGATTTTTTTATCCCGGATGCCTAAAACAAAGAAAATTAATAAGTAATTATTTATTTATATAATTGCAATGACAATGATAACTACTTTTACTATTTCTGCCAAATCTTCATTTATTTCATTTTCAAGTAATCTAGTGGATACTAATGGACGTGTAAACTAAAATGAGTTAAGAAAATAATAATAATTAATAATAATAATTATGATCAAAATTTTTAAATCACTAAAAAAAATTATTATCAATCAGTAAATATAACAATAACAAGAGCTTAAAGGATATCTGATACTTTTGTTTTTTTGGTTTTTACTTCTGTCTCTTCTTTTACACGTGTACGTAACCTTCTTTGTGGATGAAATCGTAAACCAGACTCTATATTTGCATCTTTAAGACATACATATTATAAATAATATTTGATGATAATATCTATTTTGAGAAAGAACCCAAGGAAAAAAAATTTACCACTTGCAACATCGTAACTTTCAAAATCTTCGTTGATTTTTTTTCTACGTTCTTCCAAGTCTGCCAAAATTTGTTCTCTTAAACCTCTTTTTTCAGCCTAATATATATTGATTTATCGTTGTTAACAACAATATGCACAAAAAATAAAATAGTATATAAAACAAACCAAATAATTATCTTCAACTAATTGGGTTTCAAGATCAAACATTTTTTGTACACATTGTATTTTATAATTTTTATGCAATCTTATTTTTTCAAGTGTCTGTTCCCGTTTCTCAATAAGTTGTTGTAATCTTTCCTCATATTCGGGATGAATTCCTATAGGAGACATTTAAGTTGAATAACATAATAAATGGATAATTGATAAATGAATGAATGAAAACCTTCTCTCAATGCTTTAATTTCTTGATCACACTGATTTAATTTTGTTATATATATTCTATAATAATAATGTTAATATGACACAATCAATAATAGAACCTTTTGAATGCGAATTGAAAAGAAATCGGCAAAGGACTATCCATCCATCTATCTATATACTCACTCGTCTTTTTTGTTAATCTCTTCTTCTTTTAATTTTTTTAGTTTTTCAAGTATTTCAAGTCGTCTTTTATCTTTTGCATCTTTTTTACATTCAAGCAACGTTTCATTATTTTCCAACAGATATGATGACATTTGTTAGATCGACGTAAAATTCCAAATAAAAAAAATTTTTTAACATTAACCGTCGAAAAAGTCTGTGTTAGTTCAAAATTTATCAATCTAGGCCAAAATGCTTTAAAAGGAAAAGAAATCCATGGTCCGTGCCGATCAACGAAAATTCAATAACAAAAATAAGGATTCGTGAAAATAAATAAAAGTGAATTCGAATTACCGTGTAACAATGTTCAAAGTCATGGCAAATTTTCTTTTGGAGAAAAGCTCTCCATCCATCCATTAAATTAAAGCCAGAGAGAGTCTTATCTATCAACTAAGTTGAAAATTTTGCTCTATTTATAGACCGTTCGTATCATATTATTATTGTTAATAATTTAGTCAGTGCTACCATTTATTGAAATTTTAGGAAAATATTGATGCAATCGAATAATCAATCATAAAAAATCGAACGAAGAGGGAAGAAGTTGACAAACGTTTATCTTTAACGGTTAATTACAAAAAAATGTTGGACATGATGTTGTTACTGTACAAACAATTATTATTGTTTGCCAAGGAACCCGCCTATTTATCAAATAACCATCAATGTTAATAATAATAAATATTTCTATAATATGCTACGTTCCATTCTAATACAGCATTCGCGAAATGCAAAACTCGAGTAGTTTTTCATTATATATTAGACATGGTAAACTAGTTGGTTACTTGTTAAGCACGGCGAGTTTTCAATCAGACCGAATGTGAATTGGGAACAGACTTGTCAAGTAGCGAGTTCAAAGAATCTATTCCTTGGCCATTTTCTTTTATATCTAAGTGACATTACTACGTTAATTATTCTATAATTATTCTGGTTTGCAACAATATTACCTTGTGACTTTATTCACAAGCAGAAGTCGTCACGAGACCTGTTGATGAATTTGTGTCCCCATGCTAACCAAGTTAAATAATAGTGTTTACTCGAAGTAGGACAGATGAAAACCAATTTTGTACATTCGTCATTCCAAAAAGTTTGCAAAAACTTTCATCACTTAAACTGTTGAACCTTTTTTGCTACATCTTTCCAATTTCTGATCTCTGTCAGCTAACACACGAATTCCTTTGTGATTACGGCGAGTTGATTTACTTACTTCTAGACAAAATTATTACTTTCAAATCCTGATCAGGATCTCTGAACATGAGATATCACATATATTGAAATTTCATCCACTAATTAACATTAATATCAGAAAAAATATAACTCACTATCGAACGTATTGGAGTAATTTAAGAATCGCGGACAAGGCTATCCATCAAGTCAGATGATCTATCAGAAGTATGTTTTTCCCAAATAAGGAAACCATTCAATGCACAATGAATGACACAAACATGTGCATTTATTGGAGACTGCTTAATACTAATTAGTATACATACACCTCAAAATATGAAATACGTGAAATTTGAAATGAGAAAGTGAACGACTATTCTTTTATCTTCTTGGGAACTACAGCTACTTATGACAATGATTAATGAATATTATGTGTACAAAAATGATCAAATTCAAAATTGTTACTTTGATATTTAATTTCTTTAGAATTATAAAAAAGAATCATTCTTTTTTATTTTTTAATATTAAAGTGGATTTTTTAGGTTAAAAAAAAATTTTTTTTAAAGTAGTAAGGGCGTAAAAAAAACGTATAGCTAGCTAATTATATACAAATAAATCAACTTAATTTAGCTAAATGTAATAGTAGGTAAAGTTTAATGTTTTATTTAATAACAGTTAAACCTTTTTTTTTTTATTATTTTTTTTGGGAAATTACACAAAAATCAAAACCCCTTATCTTTTTTGAGAAGGAAAATTTAATACTATTTATATAAAATTTTTTTTAAAATAAATTTTTTATAATTAAATCAATGAATTTTGTTAATTATTATCAGTATAATCAAAAATATATCAACATATTATAATTATTATTGATTCATAAATAAAAATTCTAATCCCAAAAAAAAACAAACATGAATTTTCTCACTTTGCAACAGGGGAATGAGTTAGAATCTCAGGATGGTAGGAATTTATTAATAATGGTATTCAGTAACAGCGAATATTATTTGATATTTTAAATAGTTTGTAATTTAATATTCAAGTCCTTTTTATTTAAATTTATGCTTTTTTTTTTAAAGACACTCAATACACAGTTGGTAGATATAGAATACATCCAACAGGTAATACATCACACAATGTACATAGTTCAGCATCAGCTTTAGACCAACCTGGTGAGACTACGCCGTTAATTCAAGGAATTAGGCCTACAAGTAAACAAGTTGCTAGATGGACAAAAAATGCACGGAGATGTTTTTTCCTTTTAAATGTTTTACCTGTTTGTGTGGTAAATATAAACAATATATGTATTATCCATCATAATAATCTTGCCTTCAAAATATTGATCTTTATGATTTCATAAAATTTTAAATCATTAAATTCGATTGAAAACAATAGGTATTAATTTGGTGTGCAGTTCCATTTCCAAAACATGATCCAGGTGATAAGCCAGGTGGTGGAGGCGAAAATGTTAATCATACAACTTTGAGTTTTATAAAAAAATTATTCGGATATTATGCTTCAATATTATCATCATCATCAGAATTAAATAACACCGATATATCAAACCTTCCAAATCATGACGAAAGACCATTTGAAATTAATTTTTGGTTTTTTCTATTTTTTTATTATGGGTTTTATAATGCAATAGCCTTGTTGATGATAACAAAAGTATTTGATCTTTACTCACTTAATTGGTGGCCAAAGAAGTTGGGTGGTGTGTCTGCATATACAATGTTTTGGTTATTATCATTGGCAGGAGGGGTATTGATATACGAGTTTACAGAATTTGAAAGATATAACATGACTTGGGTATTGCTTACATTTTTAACAATGTGCATGCCCTTAATAGTAGCATTTACAGTGATAAGAAGACAAAACAGAAACACTTATAGGAAGTCATTAACACCAGCACAAAAAACATTTCTTGAAACTGAACTGCAATCACGCATACCTGCATCTTACATTAGGTTTTTATGGTTTAGTGCTATTTTGTTTATGATAATGATTGCACTTATAGCTGGTGAATCATATGCATTTATATTTTTGACAACTAAAAATCATACTGGCATCGATGCATTTGTTTATGTTTATTCATGGCTGGCAACAGTATACATACTGGATACAATCACCGACTATGTGATTGAAACACGAGTGAAGTCGTACCCGCTACAGTTTATCTTCAAACTTTATTTTTTCATGATTTATTTTATTTTCTATAGAAACTTATTTGCCAGGCTTCGGGATCCTGGACAGTATATTATTATTCAGGCAGCTAGTTCTTTATGGGTCTGTATATTCTATCCATTATGTATGACTCAAACAGTTCATAGATATTTGGTTACATATGTTGGATTACAAAAAGATTATGAAACATATCAGAAACAATGTGGTCGATCTTTTTTCATACGAAATCTGGCAGAAAATGCAACAATGTTAGGATTTTTGGGATGGTTATGCATAATTCATTACGGACCAAATTACGAGGTGTATCCATATTTTAAATTTGTTGACGAAAATAAAGAGCTTGATATCTGGTGGACTTTAAAGGCTACTTGTAAAATTTGGGCATTTGAATTGATTAGCGCAAAGGTCACTAGAATAATATACGAAAAATATTTTAAAATTAATATTAGACGTGAAGCGGTTGCTGATTTTAAGAAATATCCAGAAATGGTTGTGGCTATGCTTGTGATTATTATTCATGTATTGCAGGTTAGTAATTATTCTTGATACGTGTGTGCGATGATTATTTATTCGAATTTAATTAATTCGAGGGTTTTTTTTTGGTAATAAATAGGATATGTTAATGGCCTTGTTATCAATGAACTTTGAGGGTGGAAGAGGAGCAAAAACAATAACACCAACTCTATCATCTATATAGAAACTCTTAGATGCTTATATATATGTGTGTGTGTATATATATATATATATGAATGATGTATTCGAATATTTAATTTGTAATAATAATTAATAATAATAATATAATAATTATCTGGTATTACATGCGTAATTTAATTTTTGTTTTGTTATGTCAAAAAATATCAAAGCCTGAAAATTTTCTACATACGCACAAAAAAAAACATTTCGTTTGAACTTTTACAAAATAAAAAATATTTATTTATTTACAAGAGAATCAAAGTACAATAAATTATTTATTTTATGAACCTATTCTTTCCAACGCATCAACAAAAGTTACGAAATCGCTTTTAATATTTTGTGCATATCTCAAGATTTTATCCTATTTTTTTTTGTTTTGAAGAAGGAAGAGGGTAAGAAAATATAAACATTAATTAAAATATAATATATATTGTGTGTATCGTCGTTTATGTAACGAACCTTATTGTCTAATACTTCTATAGTTTCTGTGTATGGATTATAACGTACGGAGAATCGTCTATTCATTGTTTTTGCAAATTCACGAACCTTTTGTTGTGCATCCTTAAATGAATCAGCCACAAAGTAAACCTTAACATTTTTTTTAGAAAAATAATTGTTTAATTTATTTTTGCCTTTTTTATTTTAGCAAATATATTGAATGATTACAAGTAAATGTAAATAATACTTTTTGATATTCAGTTACAATATATTTTTGCGTGGCGGTTTTATATGGATCAAACGAATATTTTTCTGGCTTATCTGATAAAGAATACTAATAGGTTTATAGATGATGATGAATTTTTAGAATTGATTAATTTATTATTATTATGAAAAAGATATGTATTTAATACATTACTTCTAATTCACCAAATGACGATAGTAAACCAGCCCCATATGCTCGAATTCCACCCTCTTGACGACACAGACCAAATTCAACAGTGAACCAGTATATCTTTTAATTGAAAGAAAATAATAATGAATATTATTAAAATGAAACATGTTTGGTTTTTTATAGGGAACTTACTGTGGAAAGTTTTTCAATATCACTATCGCTAGCACCTAAAGAAGCAAGACCAATTTCCTAAATAATAATAATAACGACAATAACAATAACAACAATAAATAATATAAAGAATTATTCAAGTACAAATAAATGAGATACAGACTAGAAAAAAGGATAAATTACTTGAGAAAAATCAGCAAAATCTGGATCACAAAATAAAGGAACCTATATGAATAGATAGATTAAAACATAATTTTAGGACAAATCAATAAAATTTTTTTAAATATATAAATATATTTTAGCGACTTACATGACCAAGCAATTCATGGCATACGTCACTAAAAAAAAATTTAAATTTTTTAATATATAGAAATTTTTTTTGAAATTTCTTCTTAAATTTAATTTCTTTTTTACTCACGGTTCTGGAGTGTAGAATGGTTTAGAATGGTGACGAATGTATTGTGTAGAGTGAAAAACACGAAAAGCAAGACCGTTAAGAAAATCACGAGAAGTGAGCAAACCCATTACTGGTCTTAAAGTAAATCCAGTACATTCTAATGTATCATTAATAATAATAACAAATTATAACATCATTATAATGAGTATTAATTTAAGGATAAAAAAATAAAATTTAATATTTGCCTTTTAAGTATTTAGATACATCTTCTAATTGCGGTATATTTTTTTCATTATATCCACAATTTTGAGTCAACAATGGAAACACGTATAGATGCTCTCTGCAAGCATGAGTTGGATATAATTTCATTAAGTTACGAAAAACAGCGCCCCAAGTTTCAATTTCTCTAGTTGTATATTCAACAGTTGGTATAGGTTGACCACTCTTATGAGTTTTTGCAATACGTGTAATTTGTGCACGTCTGACACGATACTCTGGATCATTTGCTCCAGGATGATCCGAGTCTAATAACAAGTAAAAGTGAGTGAGTGACATTTCAATTTTATCAAAGAATGAAATATAAATTGTTACCGAGATCTTCGCCCATTTCCAAAACCTTATCAGCAAATGTGTCCAGATCTGATTTTTTACGTGGAAACCAAGGAGTGCTAACTGTTTTCAATGATAAACAAAAAACAAAAAATTGGTTAGCATGATAAAAAAATAATAACAACAATATTTATGATGATCTAATGACCTTCAGTAGCTTCAGTAGTTTCAGCACCAGCAATTTTTACTTGTTTAGTTACATTCTTTAGGGCGGAAACTATATTAGAAAGTTGAGTAGCATTCTCAACATTAAAATCAACGAAAAAATCGTAATCCCATTCAGGTGTTTTACTTGGGCGACTTTATTGATTAATGGTAACATTAATAATGATAACGATAACAGTAATGAATGATGATAGTAACTTTAAAGGTGAAAAATATACCTTTCAATTCTTGTCAAAGAAATATTTTGTTTCTTAATAGCTAATAAACATTCATCTAAAATACCAACTTTATCAGTGACACTAAAAAGAAGAGTGGTACGGAAAGTTCCATCTCCAGGTAATTCCAAAAGATTAGTAACTTCAGAATACATTTATTTAACTATTTATTTTAAAGATAATTAATTATTTTTAATTGAGAAACAAATTATTTTGATATAATTGTTATATTTATCACTCGCGTGAATTCAAATTAGCCAATCAGAATTTTGTATCCAAACATCCCGCCCCAAAATTTTCGATACATACTAGTACTTTAATATCGATCGGGATAATCTATATATCACGAGAACATTATTTCTAGCGCCCCATTACCCACTACGTGATTGGTGCTTGACCATGCCATGTTTGGGATAAAAATAACAATGGAGGCAATGATTAAAAATTTGGTCACATATTTTCATTGAATTATAAATGTTTACAATTTGAGATGTAAAGCGGCAATTTATGTAAATATAAAAAGACCAATTTTTGAAACACTGTTTTAAACTATTCAATAAGTTTATTTGTTTTCTTGAAATAAAAAAATTGCTTGAGCGAGAATATATTAACACACAACGTTTAAAAGCTTGCGACTCGATGATACAATTAAAACCTACAAAGGTATTAAAAAAGAAATAGAACAGGCACTCCAAGTATTTTAGAGAACTATTTATTCGCCAGCCTCTTGATGACAGTGTTGTTAACACTGTCAAATATTGGTGGGCGCTTGATATGAAAGAGAAAAATTTAGAATCTAAAAAAAAGCAACCGACGGAGGGAATCTTGATACCCAGTTATTTTACGCTCTGCGCATTTTCATTATTCGGAGAAGACAATTGTGATAAAATATTTGAAGAATGTTTCACCACCAAATATTGAATCTGTTATTTTAAATATTTATTCCTATAAGACTTGTCCGATATTATTGGAAAAACTCTCAAAAATCCGGACCTTGGTTGTTTTCCAGGTGGCGATGCTAAATGGCACATCTAATCCGGCCCGATCTAAAACTGGTCCATCCATGCTTGGGATGGACTGGTCTCAGCCTTAAAACTCGGTCTGGACTGTTTGGATATATAGTCTTAGGACCATGGCACTAAAGCTGTTAAATAGTTAGACCAGTCTAGTCTTTTTAAAATTCAATTTATTTATTTAAATATTTAGTCACCAGACCATTATCAATTTATTTATTATTATGTAATAAATGAAATTATTAACCTAAAAACAAAACTCACATGACAATTAGATAATAATATTATCATGATAAAATACAAAAACATATTTACTCATCTAAATAGTCCAAACAATTAATATCATCATCATCTTTCTCCATTACTAAATCATTATCAATATTAATTTCTACAATATCTTTATTACCCAAATCATTATTGATCCAATTTTAGGCATAAGCAAGCTTTGGTGATTTCTGGTTGAAACCTTGATAGGCAATCTTTGGCTATTTTGGCTAATGGTGAAAATTCCTCTTTCATGTTATCTGAAGTTGAAGGCAAATTGAACTAATTATTGTATTATTGTGATGATTAGTATTAGGGTTATTATCATTAACAGCGAAAAGATTATAAAAATATATATCATGTAAAGTTGGTTGAGGATGATTACTATTGTTTGCATTGTGATGTATTCAGTTATTTATTTTTTAATTTCTTTGTTAGCTTCTCCAATTTCAATATTATTAAAAAAAGTCTTAATATTGAAGGAGGATCTAATATTGAACAGATTCTTGTATTTTTCTCAACATCCTTGCAACTTATGTCTAATAGAGACTGTTATTATTATTATATTAAAATCCACAACATACATTTCCAAGTGATGGATATTTTATATTGGATAATAAGGTACTTCTTCGAATAAAGGTTCCTCTACTGGAGTAACAATGTTATCCTTTATTAAATTATCACAATCCTTTCTTAAGTGTCATTCTTTTCTCCAGTAGTTACAATAAGGAAATACAAATTCTATTCCTTCTTCAATTAATCCTTGAACTTCACTTTTTTTAATGTGTCCTTTAATCCCACAAGGATAACAAGTTTTATTTTGACAAAGGTTATTAGTTGATTCCTTACATTGATAATATAATTTAAATAACTGATCAGGATTTCCGTGGAATAACTGAATACTAAATTGATTAAATGAAAATCCTTAAGAATTTGTTGATAAAGATAAATAAAGGTTGCTTGGCTTTGTCAATTGCATTCAAACAAGGAAATGAAATACAGTCGAACTTCGTTATAGCGAAGTGTAACATAATTAAATACGAATATTATTAAGGAAAATATATAAAAACATAAAATCCGTTATAACGCGACTAGTAAATTCGTTATTTCTTAAATCTAAAATCCGTTACAACGAGGGCTATCTATAACGAGGTTTGACTGTAGGTTTAACCTCGAAAGGTATGAAATAAATAGTAAAGGAATCAAAATAAAGGAATGTAGAAAAGAAATAAAAGAAATAAAATAGGAAAGAAGAGAATAAGAGAGAAATAAAATGAGAATCCATCGATTGAAAATATAAGAATGTAAATTCGGTGGAATCAGAGAATTGTCAATTTAAAGATTTAAATTAACAAAAAAACGTAAAATAATAAATTATTAAAATAAATTTTGCATCATCATCTGATACTACTAAGTCAATGAAATTTTCCAAGTTATTTTTAATGCATTAATCATTTCTAGTAGAGTTGTTAATCGATTGATTTTTTACAATTGATAATTGAAATCGTAAACTGATCGGTAAATCGAAATATTCGATTTTTATATTGCGAATGACCTTTTGGTCAATCTTCTTGATTGTCTTACGTTTATGGCCGAGTCCGAGTTAACTTTTAGCTATACTCGTCAATTAATTTATTCTATGAATTTATTTAACAATTATCCTGTTTACTGCATCTTTCTTATACCTAGAAAGCTTTGGCAAATCTGTAAACACACTTTACAGTATAGTAAACACAAATGTAAAATATAAAAATTCAAATATATTAAAACGGGGCTAGGTCGCATGTCCAAAAGTCTTATTTATCACAATATGAATCTTAATTTTTATTTTCGATTTTTATAACAAATTTTTTTGTTTCGTGGAACTTGATCAACAGACTATGAACTAAGTCTGTTTCGCAATAAAGTAATTTATTGCCCCGCATCGGAAAAAAGTCTTTCTAAAGGAGATGATGAAGAAGGAATTGCCAACCATTTTAATGGTTCATTTTCTTCAATAGGAAACATTTGAGGTATATTTTTATATGTTTCAAATTCGCCTTTATCTAATTCTGCTATTTTTCTATATTATTATTTCTTTCCCTTTGATTTTTAAGTATTTCGTTGATCTTGTTATTAAGAAATTAATATTATTAAGAAGTTCAAATTTATTAAAGTATTGCTTATTTAAAGATAATATATTAGTATCTCGGTGATGATGGAGCTGAAGACGATGAAATATATGACGAGCATGAAGCGCTAAAAAAATAAAATAAAATAAAATAAGTTTTAACTCGACCGGAATTACTTAAAACAACCACTACTCTTAGAATGACAAGTGGTGATAACCACCATTATTTTTAATAAGTAACACTTACCCAGCGATCTCGTATTTTCCTTTTGTTGTTGTTTTGACATTTTTTAAAAAGACAAAGACGCGAATTAGTTTTTTTCTTGAAAAACAATTTATTTTTGACAAAGATGAGGAAACGTGAATGTTGTTTGGTATGATTTAGTTCTGAAGATGTGTTAATAACTAACCGGAGGTACTATATTTTGTTATGTGAATATTTTAAGGAAATCAAAACGCAGAGCAGAACTTGCTGGGTAATTATAAGATTCTTATCAAGATAGCAAGCGATTGGTATTTTGCTTATCGTAATCGTTAATAATAATATCATTATAAATATTCAATTATAAAAATGTCAAGGCAGTATGACTGAGTTCTAGAAGAAACAATTCAAATATGAAACATTTCGATATGCAATGCTTGATTATCGGAAATTAGCAAGCGTTGAAGCACGTACGCTACCTTGAACACTTACGGTCATTCTCATCTTCCTCATGTACACAAGGCTAAATTGGCCTGATGGACCGAAATATACAATGATGCTACCAAATTCCAGGGGGGATACATGGCCCTGGAGTTTATCGAAACTACATCGATCGTCAATGACGTTTTCACTAATCTTCCCAGACCAGAGAAGGCTGCTGATGCGTTAGCCGAAAAGTTGCCTGCAATAATCCTACCTTTAAGGTAGACAGCAACCCAGGACTCAAAACACTGAATTTAGGGAAAATCTAAAACAACAGCCCATGTCGCAACCTCCTGAGTTGCAGAATTTTCTTTCTTTGCTTATATAATCTATTGATTCTCTTCTGTAAGTAACATTTTACAAATCAAGTTTTTATTCTTTCAATAACAAAAACCATTATAATAAATCTGTCACTTAGGCTCTAAAAATAATAGAAGTTTTGGTTATTGAAAAAAGAAATTTTTTTTCTAATATTTTCTGATTAAAGGTTAAGTGACCAGACCAATTGTTTAATTATCTAAAGCTACACTAAATAATATCATATAACGTTTTTATAAAGGCATGATTAGTAGTTGCTTAACAACCCATTCCATATTGTTGGTTGTATAACAACAAAATTTCTTTTCTGTTGATAATATTTTATTAATGGTTGTATAACAACTCTCTCTTTCCGGCCACGATCCCTTTTTTAAAGCCAATAATTATATGATGATACCAAACGCAAAGTCGAATACCTTATTATATAAATTGCACCTTTATCTAATTCATTAATAAATGATAATAAAAGGCAGTTAGGTGAATATTAAAAAAATTTTCCACTCTTGTAATGGAATTAGTTTCAATGACTGTGAAATTATTTGTTTCTTTAGTGTCAATGATTGAATCAATCACACAAGTAGTACTCAATTTAAATGGCACTGTAAAAAAAAAATTTATTTGTAATAAATTATTTTAAATGTGTAAAATTTTCAAAGACCATCAACGTGTTTATCCAAGACTTTCAAGGGTTGCTGCTCATTATCTTTCAATCCCATGTTCCAGCGCACCTAGTGAAAGAGAATTAGTGCGACCGGACTTACGGTAAATGAGCTTCTCTCAAATTTAAATACACAAATAATTGAAAGTATTCTTGTGTCAAGAAGTTTATTATAGTAAATTTTTCCTTTCTTGTAAATTAAAAACTGCATTTTATTATTGTGTTACGAAGTCGTTTAATAAAGACGGGTCGAGTTCGGTTCGGGTTGGGTGGGTAATCATTCAATTATTATTATGATGATCCATGCAGACCTCTGATATTTTTGATTAACACTTGAATTCAAGAAAAAGGAGTGCGGAAGCCATAAAATTATTGAAGAATACATTCATACTAAACAAACCAACCAGCAAGCATTTCAAGGAGATAAACAAAAATGAATAGAAAAAACATCTTGGCATTTCAGAAAAGCCATAAGATAAATTGATGGCACTATTTACCTTTTGTCTCATATGGACTTGATCTAATTCATTAATCACTTGAACACCTACTAGATTTTTATTAAAAAAGAAACCAGCCAAAGAAGAAACCAAAGAAAAGTGAGGAGGGGAACATGAATAGGATAATTGAAACCGTTGAAAAAAAAAAACACCAAAGAGATGTAACAGAAGAATTAGAAAAAAAAGGAGAAAAACACCCCAAAGTTAAAAGACTTTTCTTGGGTTAACTTGCTGGATGGGAAGAACACAACCAATAATTAGACGAGTTAAAGGCCAAATTAATTTAATCGACTTTAATCATTTAATCAACATAATCACAAAAATCCTGAATTTATTGAAAAAAAAAGATTAAAGATTTATAACAATCCTCATAATAAAGAAATGATTGAAAAAGGAGAATTTCCAGTCATTTACTTTAAGAATATTGAAAAAATTAAGCCTTGGAAGAAGCTTTGTTACCATCTTTTGATTCCCAACAAAACACTGAATTATTTAATAAAGAAGTAGATTGTTGAAGTTTATTTTAATTACTACTACTTCTTCTACCTTTGAAACCGAAAAGTTGTCAGACCCTTTACTTTCTCATTTAGATTGTTCAACCAAAAATTTTTTTTTTGGATAAGTATTATTACTGACTTTTAGTGCCTTCGCTTCTAATTATTTTGATTTTATTAGTCTTGCTACTGGTCCCAAAAAATGTAATAAATAGTAAGTGCATTTAAGGTAATTCGTAAAATCAGTAGTACAATTGTGATATTAAAAATTTTGGACCCTGAATACTTGGTGGTGATACAAATGTTCACTTTGTCTGGGCATGCCCCATATAATAAAACATGAATATTACTAGTTTACCTGAGCCAAATATTATTAGTGATCAAAATACTCCAGATCAAAATATTGTAGATCAAAATACCACTGATTCAAATGCAAGGTAAATCCATAAGGTTTTTTTAGATTTTTTTTAATAATTCAAACAGTTTTCATAGGAGCATCTTTTCTATTTTTAATCTATCAAATAATAATAGGAATTATTCTTTTAGAACTCCAAAACCAAAAAAAGTTCTCACTCCTTCATCTCATCATCATCATCAACAGCACCATCAAGTAGTATTCTAATTCAATTAATTAATACAAATCAATATCTCTTTTGTATTAATCTTTATTCTATTTATTATTCTAATATTTATTATATAGTTAAATCAAGATTATTGTAATACTTGTGGTAATGGTGGTCAATTAATGTGTTGTGATTCTTGTCCAAGAGCTTTCCATTTCACGTGTTTAGTTCCTCCACTTGATATTGACAATACACCACAAGGAAATTGGTATTGTAGGGTTTGTTGTGCAGAGGAAGTAAGTTTATAAAAATCAAAGATTTATTAATTTTATTTATCTTAAATAAAGATTCATTTTATCCAATTATTGTAATATTAATTCTTAAAACTATTGAATATTAAATATTAAAATAGAATCCACCATCAGGTCCACAAGGCTTATTTCAAGAATTAATAGAAAAAGCATGTTCATCTAATCCTAAATCTTTTTCACTTCCTGAAAGTTTAAGAAATACTTTTGAAGGAGGTTTTATTAATTATAATTTTTCCATATATATATTATTCAAAATTTTTAGCAATGAAAAGAATGAAAAATTAATATTCAAAATTTTAAATCAATTTCATTTAGTTGGTACTGGCCAATGTGAAGAATATGTAGATACATTAAAGATGAAAAAATTGTAATCAATTATTCTTTTTATTATATATTATCTATATACAATATATATTAAATCTTAATTTTTTTACATTAGAAAAAATGGCGAATTAAAAGAATACGATTATTGTGAATTTCGCAAAGATGAATTTGGTCAATGGAAAAAATGCTATATATGTGAAAAAGGTCCTTGTCAAACACAACCAATGATTTCATGTGACTATTGTTCACTTAGTTGGCATTTTGATTGTTTGGATCCACCTATGGTGATACGTCCACCAATTAGCAAAAGGTGGATGTGTCCTGCTCATGCTGATCATATTTTGGTAAAAAAACTTTTTATTTAAATAATTTATAATTACATCATTATTGTCATCATCGTAATCATATAATCATTAAAAACAAATCATTTTACTTTTTATATTTCAGCCACCTACAAGGAAATTTAAATCTGATAAAAACCTTCCCTTTTCAGACAATACTATAGTTCAATTACCTCGAAAAAATTTAGTTGAATGTGATCCTGAATTTTTCCTTAATGATAGAAAACATCGGGTACCAAAACAAGGTGTAAAATTAAATTATATTTCACAAATAGTTAACAATTATTAATAAAGGTGTGAAAAAAATTTTGATTTCGGAAAGAACACTTTTGTCTGTCATAAATATTCGACCATTAGTCTTTTGGAAATCATGCTTATTTTACGTGAATCGTTCAAAACTCACTAACGTAACGTTCCGTTTTTTAAAAAGAAAATTCTCTACAACCCGTTTTTTATAGAAACGTAATTTGTAATCTGCAATATGCTATTTGATGCTTGTTGATTGTAAATTGGATTATTGCCGACTGCAAATGGCAATGGTAAAGGCTTGTCAATGAACTTTTTACAGGAAAATTGAAATACGAACAAATCTTTTTTGTCAAAATGATCTTCTTCAAAGTTAAAAATGCATGCGGGGAGCAAAAGGTACCTTATATGCCTTCCTGACTAAAATTGAGTTTTTTGCGTAATATGGAAAAATCTGGTCATGTTTATTTAGTAAAAAAAATGAGTAATCAACAAAGAATTAATTTGCACAAAATCTAAAATACATGATATTAATATTAATAATAAATTAGGGTTTGGACAGAAAATATCTTTATATGGATTATCTATATACTGATGAATGTTAGGAAGCAACTTCGAAAAAATTTAATTGTGTATTTTTATCAAAATTTGTATTCTTCAAAAGATTCTTCGCCAGATATTTTTGATTCCAATATTATCTGACAAACTACTAAAGTGAAAATGATGATACTTTTTTATATTTGGTAAAGTTCTAAAATGATCTTTTAACATTGAATTAAAGCCTTTCCATTGTTATATCTAATTGACTTATTATGTATAGATGATTTGTTTATAACCATCTCAAACTATTTATATGACTGGTCTTGTATGCTTTTTTAATAGATCCAAATTCGGCATCACAAATAAAATTTTGTGTGCCCAGATATCATTAAATTTATATGAATATTTTCATACCAACCCAACATTGTTAACCATGACCAGAACCAAAGTGACAATTGTTTCATTCTGTTCATACAATTGTCACGTGTGATATGAAGATCTTGTTTATCTATATGGTGATTCTTTTGGAGAGAATATTCAAAGTTGTGTTGGCTCCTTTTTTTGATATTCCTTCTGGTAATTCATCTTTTTAATGGTAGCTTCAATTTTTGGTAATTCTACATTTTCATTTCGTCATATTCTGAATTCATCTAATATTCATCAATTGTGCGTTGTCTTTGTCTTTGTGATGTTACAAGAGGTCCTTTTCTTCATTTCCTCTCCATAATTCGCTCCTTGTTTTAACAATATGAGTTCTTCGCCCTCAGGAATCTTTTCAATAACTGTTGTTGTATAGGTAAGTGGGTGTCTGATTCAATTTTAATAATATTAATTTGTGTAAATAATTAATTTAGTTTCTTTTTTTAAAACAAAAAAAACGGTATGATAAAGAGGTGGTTGAAACAAAATTTTGTATTGAAAATAAAATTTTATTATAGCAAAGAAATTGGATTAAATGGAACTTACAAATTAAGAAATCAAAAATGGAAAAGTCCATTAAAGAAAGATGCATGGATACACAATTAATTGTATAACACAAACAATCAACTCGTTGATTATAAAAACGCAATTCCTTCTTGTGACTAGGTAATATTCTACTCTTTTGTCTTGTAAATTCTCAATGAGTCGTAACCCCTTCTCCTCTGATACGGTGCAGTTCATCTGTAATCAATTAATTGCTTATAGTAACAACTGGTCAGCTTCAAAATACTATATAAACAAAAATTTTTATATCATTATAAAAAAGTTAACCGATATTAATGTTGGTCGCCAAAACTATTTGAAGAGGTGAAAGTCAAAACTAAATCAAAAATTCAAAGTCAAAAGTCAAAACTAGTTTCGACTTATGGTGAAACCTTTTGACCTTCGCACAGTTATTACAATCTATGGTTTTGGAAACCAATACTAACCGATATGTTTTATTGTTCATGACAAAATTTATTGACTAGGTTTTTCTTAAACTATAAATTGGCTGAGCCTTAACATTTTGAAAATTCCAAATTTTGTTATACACTTAATACGGTCAGGGAATATACCAAATATGGAATTACTAACAGTCACAGGACATGTCACGCAGATCAATAGGGAGTTGTAAAATAGTAAATTTTTGATGATCTGCATCATAGTAAAATTCGAATTTACATAGTAAAATTTTACAATCAAGTGACTTCTAATCCCCATTTAATACCCTTGCTGTATAGCAATCACCGCCAAATTTGAGATATAACTTCTTTATCATATGTATCTGCTTCAAGAAATTTTTTAAAGCAGGTTGTTAATAAAACCGAAAATAATCTGACTCTCAAAGTCAAATTTTGCCTTTATATTCATATACAGTACCTGGACAAAAGTATTGGAACACTTGCTTTTGTTTATTGCGCAAAAATATACATAATAAACATATATGAAATTTATATCATTTGCGGTTTAGGTTCTTGTGAATATCTATGGAAAATCTCATGTATCTAGGTTCCGTAGAACTCGAATAAACATATAAAAATGAAATTTGATTAAAATTTTCTTTGACGATCACTAAATCTCTGACACGAAATTTTTTATTTTATTCTCAAATTCTATGTAATAATTTTTAATTTAAAATTTTAACTATTTTTAATATTTAGTTGGGTATCCTTTGCTCTTTATACAAGCCTGAATTCTACTAGGCATGCTTTCAATCAAATTCATTAAAAAATTTTGAGGAATTTTATTCCATTCCACTTTTAAAGTAGCCTCAAATTTAAGATTTCTTAGATTGTTGGACGACTTCTAATTCAATATACTGTTGTGGTGGGAAGCCAAGTATTTTAGAAATAATTCTATATGAGGCTCCACCACTTTTATAAAGGCCAAC